GCGCCCCCACGCCGCCCCTTTTCGTTCTACCGCCCCCCTGAAAAATGAAATCGCCCCCTGGGGGGCATTATCGCCCAGGTTAAGAACCACTGGACTAGGATACTGCAGTCAGAAAGTCCAGAAGCACTAATGAGGTTGCACTTCCCTTATCTAAGTGCCCATTGTAGGTCATCTTCTAAGGTGACCAAAGGGGTCTCAGTCCCATATCCTGGTCGAAAGACTGCTTGAAATGGCTCCATATTAGAGAGAATGGTATACAAATATGAATATCCCCGCACAGGTGGTGCTAACGAGGGTCCAGCCCCATGGGGCCGGAGGATCCACTCACTGATCCGCCATGGACGCAGACGGTGTGATTCTACGAATGGTTCTGGAGCACGCGATTTGCTCACTACTCCTGGCAGGAAGCAGGACGACAAGCCTTGCTGCAAGGTTGAAGAGTGGCGAGCGGATTGCGTGCCATTCGTAGAATCGGAGCAGATCAGTGAGTGGACTGTCCGGCTCCATGGGGCTGGACCCACGTTAATGCCACCTGTGCAGGGATATTCGTATATGAATATGGATACCCCCATCTCTAGTCCATATAGTCAATATCATCCAGTTGTGCTTGGAAAGCAACTCTGTTTACCAGTTCTGCACAAGAAAAAAATTGCAGTAGTTTATATGACATGCTATGTGACCCTTCACATGTTCTTTTAGGATCTTGAGTTCCTCTTCTTCTGTCCTATACATACATTGTCAGAAACTATCATATGCAGCCTCTTCCACCTTTTCCAGAAAAAAAAAAAGTGCAGTACACTGTGATATAGCTGCCAGCTGTTCTAGACATCACATTTAGAAAAAGGGCCGACTTCAGTTTTCTTTGTAAATGACAAGGTTGATTTGATTGAAATCAAATCAGTTTAAAGCACTGCAGAGTGGATAAAAATCAATGATTAAAAAAATAAAATAACATAAAAAATTTAATTGATTTCTTTTTTTTTTTAAATCATTGATTTTTATCCACTCCACAGTGATTTAAATCAAATCCACCCATGTTAAGTGAATTTTAAGCTGCTCCAGCACCCCCTTACAAGGATCACCCAAATGACCTTTATCATGCTGCTGCATACAGTATAGAAATCAATGTAGAAGCTTAGTTTTGTTTCTTATTCTTTCTCTGTTTATGTGTCTCCCATACACATGAGGCAAGATTGGTGAAAACTTCCCTGCAAAATATAATTCAGAGGACTTACTAGAATTAAATACCTAT